TCCCTTGGCAAGATCTATGGGACCGCAAAACCCCAAAACCCCAAAACCCCAAAACCCCATGATCTATAAATTCAGAAAGTTAAGGAAGTAATTACGATAATAAGATAGTGGTTGTTGTATTAGTGGTCATTTCGATAATATGTAGTTTATTTGTTTGTTTTTGTCCATCAGTCTCTTAATGGCACTCTTGTCTTGCTTTTCCCTAAGATAAAAGAATGATGAAGGATTTAAAACATCCTTGGGATCATAGATCTACTTCAGTCCATTGTGCACCTTCATATTGTAATTACCAAGGATGCGTTTATCCAAGTAGGGACTAATCATTGTCAAAACTTTTCTACTTGCTTTTAAGGTGCCACCTATCTTTATTACCTCTGATGTAACTCTATCTAGTATAACCTTATGTTCTTCATTGTTCGAATCAAAGCAAAGTTTAATGTTGATGTACTTCTTAAGCAAATGAATTTGAAATGGGAACTCCTCGAAGATCTCTTTGTATTCTTCTAAGAAACTTATGCCGTTTCCTATTGAAACGGTAAGTACGATCTCTTGATCCACATTTTTATTTCCTTGAGAAGCAAAGGCGAACTTTTAAACGAATTTAGAGTCTAGTATAGTCTCCTAGGTCGTTTAACTCTTCAATGACTTGATGTTTTTGCTAATACTCGAAGAAAAGTCCTTAATAGAGTTGGAACTGTTTAGATTGAAGTCAAAAGATGAGACTAGGATAGTTTTATCAGTTTGGTTTAGATTAGATATTATGACTGCATCCACAAGAGATTGCTGTTTCTCGTCTTTTTAGTCCACATAAGCTTTAAAGTTGCTCGCTAATTTCCAAATCTCTGTGAAGTCGTTCAGTCTCATCTCATAAAGCTATCCCTTATGATTGTGCTTCTGATTGAAACAGTTTACTACAACTTCAAACAGAAGTCCGATAGTATAAGTGCTCCCTGAAAATAAGTCAGTCACATTAAAACCGAAAGACTGCGTATCACGAACTTTGTAGCCTCCCGTCTGAATCATTCTACCTTCCCCACTCACAAAGGAAACTCTCTCCAAAGCTTAGTCTTTGAAGTGCCCATATTTCAAACTTTAAAGGCATATTCGGTTTTCCTAGACTGCTTGATCAAGCTAAATGTCACTTGTGCTCTCATTCAAGCCTGGAGTTATGTATGGTACATAGAAATTGAATGGTTAAAGCTATTGATTCAGACTCTCTACAGAGATACCTGGCTCCGTCTTGCATTTAGAATCAGGAATGTTAACCCTCTTTATTTGATTGAAGTTTGTGTAATCCAAGTGAATATTGATGCCCTTATAGGCTGAGATAGCATGATCATTGAGAGATCTAACAGATTTCTTGTAAATATTGCATAGCTTAATAATGTGTTCAAGTTAGTTCTCGCTTACTATCTTAACACTCATTGAATCATCATCATTGTCTTGATTATAGTGGGGGAATATGAGACGCACTTTTTTCTCAAACTACTCATCCCTAGTCATCAAGAAATGGAATTTATTGAGACCTACAAGAGCTGCCAGGCCTATGGTAGAGTATTTAATTACTTATCGCTTATTTAATTTCATTTTTATTGATTGATTTTAAACCTCAAATTAAAACCTACTTAATTATTTTTCCCCTTATTCATTGGCTGACCAATAATCTTAGATTCCTAAATTATTTAATACTCAACTTCTAATCATTAATTATCAAAATGCAATTAGGATTAACTAAAACTTTAGCCAAGACTCAAAGACAATCAGGGGTGAGAGCATTCACTACTGGTTACACCAATTAAGCCTTGATCGACAAAGATCACAAATACTGTGCCTAGAATTACAAGCCACTACCAGTAGTTCTCTCTAAGGGTCAAGGTCTCTATGTTTGGGATGTTGAGGGAAAGAGGTATTTTGACTTCCTCTGCGGATATTCATCTAACAATCAAGGCCATTGTCATCCTAAGATCATCAAGGAATTTGTTGAACAGGCTTAAAAAATCACACTCCCTTCTAGGGCATTCTACAATGATCAGATGGGCTTAACTGCCGAGTATCTAACCAAACTCCTCGGATACGAGAAGTTTTTACCTATGAATACAGGAGTAGAAGCATGCGAGACTGCAGTAAAAATCGCTAGAAGATGGGGATATGTGGTTAAAAAAATACCTTAGGACAAGGCAGAGGTTGTCATGGCTAACGGCAACTTCTGGGGCAGATCAATCACTGCTTCAGGCGCCTGCGATGATCCATCTAGATACACTAACTTTGGTCCATTCACTCCTGGTTTTCCTCTTATTCCATATAATGACATTGCTGCTGTGAAGAAAGTATTTGAATCAAATCCAAATATCTGCGGCATCATGTTTGAACCCATTTAAGGTGAGGGCGGAGTTATCGTACCAGATGCCAACTATCTTAAAAATGTAAAGGAACTCTGCAAAAAACACAATGTATTGATGATGCTAGATGAGGTATAAACAGGCTTTGGTAGAACGGGCAAGCTTATGGCCTCAGACTGGGAAGGTGTGAAACCTGATATTGTCTCAGTAGGCAAAGCTCTTTCAGGAGGAACCATGCCAGTAAGTGGAGCATTCTGTGATGCTCATATTATGGATAACATCAAGCCTGGAGATCATGGCAGCACTTTTGGAGGTAACCCTCTTGGCATGGCTGTTGCTAGAGTAGCTATTTAGACCCTTATTGAGGAAAGAATGGTTGAAAATGCTCTTGCAATGGGAGATGTATTCGCAGAACAATTAGAGTCGATTAAGTCACCACTTATGAAAGAAACTAGAGGAAGAGGTCTATTCAGAGCGATTGAGGTAGTTAGTGACGCTAAAGTCAAGGGTGACGACCTCGCTTATATTCTCATGAAAAAGGGACTCCTTACTAAGGCCTCGCATGATTACTCATTGAGATTAGCACCCGCTCTCATTATCAAGGAGAAAGAAATCGTTGAGGCTACCAACATCATCAAGGAAGGTTTCTAGGAGTTAGAAAAGTTGAACAAAGAAAGATCTTAATTATGAATTATGTATAAGATGAATCAATATGATAACTTAAACGGACGAAGAATTTTCAAATATTATTATCTAATACTTCCAAATAATCTTATTAACATTATCTTCAATTCAATTTTCAATTAAGCAATATGGGGTTTTGGGGTTTTGGGGTTTTGGGG